TGATGATCTCCCTCGCCTTGTCAATGATTTCAGCGAAGGTTGCATATTGCTCGTGATCACCAAGTGCAAGGCTCAATGCAGCACATGACCTGTTGTAGAACTCGCGGCGCAGATGCGAAAATGGCAAGTCGAGACCGGGCGTTGCCGCGATCTTCTGCCATTCCGTGAGCCAGTCACGTGTTGCTGTGTTGCCTTGTGTCATGCCGAAGAGACGGTTGATGGCGAGTGCAAGTGTGTCGTCCACGATGAACCGCTTCTTCCATAGTCGTGTTAACTCTTCCCATGAGATCTTGTCTTTTAGATTTGCGACGTCGACGCCGTGGGTGGATGCCAGGTGGCTTAACCAGGTCTGGCATCCGCCCTTTGAGTTGACAAACAGGGCGCCGATGTACGCGTGTTTGGCGACGAACAGAATCCGAAGTTGCGTCGTAAAGCCTTCCCACCAGAGGACCGGGTCTTGATGCGTGTAGTCATCGAACTTCTCAATTTGGAATGTCGGCATCTTGTAATGCGTTGTGTTGTTGCCATCCTTGTTAGGCAGTTGCAAATGATGAACCTCGGTCTTCAAGGTATCCAGCTGTTTGCTGATGGTGGTTGGCGCCTCGAAGGTGCTAATGTCGCCGAGCATTGCAACGACATGCACTGCTGGACTCGCCAGCCTCCGGTCTTGGTGCGGCTTGCTCCAAGTCCTGCATACGGGAATCGAGTGCCCGTGATGCATCCTCATGCTGAGCCTTGTGGTTCCGCATGGCCCGCTGCATATTCGCCAGCTCGGACTGCAAGTGGTTACAAGTGTAAACCAACCGAGTCACGAGTTTGGCCATGAATTCCCTATGCTGCTCTTCCGATGTCGCGTCGTCGTGCCCTTCAGATGGTTCAAAGTGCCAATACTTGAGTCTTTCGATGCTGGCGGCTTCATGCCGCTGCAGCAGATCCTGGGCTTCCTTTCGGCGTGCCTGGGTATCTGCATCTACTTCGGCCTGAAGCCGCTGCTTCTCAGTTGTTGCCGCTGCTTCAGCCTGTAGGCGGGCAGCCTCGGCTGCCAGCTGGCGCTGTTCCTCAGCCTCGATCAGTGCGAGCTGAGTCTGGAACCGCTGTTTGTAGTCGGCAATAGACTCGTTGGCCAGTTGGCCTGGCATGCCCAGAGCTGCGCCCGTCATGGTGGCGGGGCACTGTTGACGTGGCACTGCTGCTGATGTGGCACTGTTGCTGACGTGGCATTGCTGATGTGGCACTGTTACTGCTGATGTGGCACTGCTGATGACGTGGCACTGTTGTTGACGTGGCACTGCTGATGTGGCACTGTTGCTGACGTGGCACTGTTGCTGATGTAGCACTGTTGCTGACGTGGCACTGCTGATGTGGCACTGTTGCTGACGTGGCACTGTACCAACCCGGAAATGCATGCAAAGGGGTGGGTGGGAGGGAAAACGCAGGTAGGTAACCAACAACAATACTTTCCTCTGGCCCTAATCAACAGATAAATAAATAATAAAAAAATAAAAAGAGGACTACTTCCCTTTTTTTTTTCTTTTTTTTTTGTATATCTGTCGATCTGTTATGAGTGAGACATGTCAGAAGAGTACTATGAGCGAGATCTAGGCTAGGTTCCGCAAAGTTTCGACTTTCACAAAATGCGATCTTGAAAAAAAAAATTGCGAAATAGAGTCAAGATGCGATTTTCAGAAAAGGACTAAATCCAGTTTCTGAGAATATGGCAACCTCCGAATATGCCTAACGAAATGTTGGTAGGCTTCGCAAGATTTCGGTTTTCAAAAAAAAATTGCGAGATAGAATGGAAATTCGATTTTTAGAAAAGAATAATTCCCGTTTCCGAGAATATGACCACTTCTATCGTTATCCCAATATACCTAGAAAACGAAATACTAACATCAGAAATTTTCAGCTATGTATGCGAATTATCAAAGAAACGAAATGCTACTATCAGGAATTTTCAGACAGAACGAAATGCAATTTATATGAAATTTTCAGATATTTGTTACGTGAAAACGAAATACCAATATCAGAAATTTTCAGGTAAAACGAAATGCGAATATCAGAAATTTTCAGATAGTTGTTGCGAGAAAAGAAAAAAATTTCAGAGATTTGATGAAGTCCTACTTGATTTACTAATGAGTAATCAATAGATCAAGCAAGCTGGCTACTTGATTGAGCGGGTCCTCTGAAAGAGAGGTCCGCTCCAATACCAAACTGTTGCATACTGTAACAGTGCAGACCAGAACAAGAACCGACCTCTCTAACAAAGTA